GAAAGACACGCTACCATCCCGACACTCCTTAGACAAGCGAATTCGTTATAAATTTACCGCTAAAACGAGGCTAGGTGCATCCGCACCTTGCCAACCCGTTTTCAGTCACAGTCCTCCCCTCCTACTTACCYACTAACTTTCTKTTTACTAACTCTTCGACCAAACTAAMTGTACGATTGGGTTTGCGACCCCCGAAAACCCCAAAATTGAGTCCTCCCTCGCCCGTTTTCATCACAAAACGGGCGAGATTCACAATTGCACCTCTCACTTTCTCCCTCCCATCGCTATCTCCGCGCACGAGTTTGTCTTTCTATCTCCAAGTCTACTAACCCCTCACTAAGTCTAACCTCTTATTTGCGTTCGCCCAAGGTAGAAACCCCTAMTTCGAAACTCCACTTGCCAAAAAYGGCAGAGAGACTATCGAAYTAACATAATTTCTCTCTCGTTMATTCCCCTTCCGCCATAGCCCCTCACGCAAGCTYCTCCCTACTAACTCCGCGATCTKCTACTTATCTCCCCAATCCAACTACATATTCGGGGTCGCCCGCCCCGCAAGCCCCTATCCCAGCTTTTACTTCACTCGATTCTACCAAGAATCGAGTGGTATCTCGTTTTCTTCTTCCCGTTTTTCCTCTTCTCCGCCATAGCCCAACGCAGCCCTTTCCTGAACTAACTCCTGACTCACTAACTCACCGCTAAAAACTGACCACAGATTCGAGATCGCCTTGTCCGAAAACCCCTATCTAGACTCTTACCCCACTCGATTCTGTCAAGAATCGAGTGATAGCTCGATTTTTCTTGTTCACCTCATTCCCGAGTGCCCCTGACCCGAATTCGCGCCCACATTCAGTTTTCTTTTCCTAATCTTTTCTCCCTTACTTTACATGCACCCTGCACCGAGCCATGCTAAACTTCTCTGTGTCATTCCAATTTTAACGGATGTCCCGGAGGACACAGCCTGGGCTGCGGGTTCAATTGGCCCCGGCCGCCCCCCCAGGTAGTTCAAAATTTTTAGTTTTACTCACCAAGTTCCATCACCTGAATTCGAACACAGGTCTGCATTTCAACAGTTCATGGGTGTACCCACTGAGCTTGGCCCTTAGGCCCCGGGTGTAACCACGGCCCCGCGTCCCAAGGTAAAACGGGGCGTGGCCCTGGCACAGCCACAAAAACAGTTTGTAATTGCTCTTCGGGCATCCCTGTGGATACAACACACCCCGCGCGCTGCTACCGCAATCTCGCGCCCTCGGGATACGACAAACAAAACAGATAGGGGAAATAGGATAAAATAGCAGCAGGGTCGGGGAACAACGGCCTGCTAGCGCCTTGCCAGCCCCCGCTGACCGGGCGCGCCGCCGCGCCTGCAAACAAAAACCGAGGGGGATAGCCCTGGCCGCCCTCGACCCCATCGGTTCCTTCCACGACGCTCCACTACAGTTGCTGCGTCGACGCCCGCTGCCCTCGATCCTCAAACCTTCGTTGTAATAGTCCGATGCCGTAACCTATAGGGCTAAGCCGAAGCGTGAGACTAAAACACGCCGGGTGCCATATAAGACGGTGCGGCGGGGCGCTTTGGGCCAATAAAACGGCTGCGCGGCTCTTAGTGCCCGCGCAGGTTCGCTTATACCGTGCCATAATTGCCCCGCGCGCCATCTTACGACACCCCGCTCACCGCACGAAAGTCGCGCCGTCGTTGCCGATGGCGTCGTCGGGGTCGTTCTCCGCAAGCGCGTTCGACTCGGTCAAAAATACCAATCAAAAGAAAATATCCTTAATTCCTGCTTAATCAAAAATAAATAATAAATAATATCACCTAAGCAAAACGACCGAGGTCCGGGCCGGCTTTACGATCAACATCATAAAAAATTCACGCACGTCTTTAAGCCTGCGCGCCCACGCACTTGCTATTGTGGTCAACCACCTAGTCAACGTAATTACAGGTGCAGCCGTGCTTAGCGCGGTATCCTTAAACTCTAAACCAAAAACTGTTTTCTGTTACTTGCAAAAACCAGGGAGGATACCCTTGTAAGGGTATTCGCACCGACGGCGTGTGATGCCCAACGTCACGCCCAACGCGACTTCCTGATCGGAGTGAGATAGGGGCCCGAAAGTGCGAAAAGGGGTGTGCCAAGGATTTTAGGAAAGTGGGGGTGGAGTCCCAGGTCGGAACTGAGATCTCTTGTGGCAAGTTCCAGGGGTACAGGTGCAAAAGGGGGCGTACTCAGGGGCGGGGAGGTAGTTGATGTCGTGCAGCATAAGGCAGATGGCAGACGCAGTGCATCCCAGGGTAAAATCCCAGGCACTTGCTGCTATCCCCATACCGAAAGATCTAAACACTGTTGCATTCTCGAACGAAATTTCAACAGAATTGCCCCTGTCAACAGGTTTTATTTTTTAAGGTCGAATAGGCAAAGAAATCACCATCGCTGCTGATTCCGTCTTCGGGGTCGGTCGCGTGGTTCGGCCGGTTGTTGGCGCTGCTCATAACAGGCTTCGGGTTCTGTCGAGGCAGGCCGTACGTGAAGGCTGTGCAATTGCTGCTCGACTTTGGTTCGAGCCTGTCGGGTAGTTCCCAAGCTCGGTGCACCCGGTGATATCGACAACCTTCGCACGGCGGGCTAGGTTAGTAGCGAGCTATGGAATTCCACGGTACTACTGTGAGTTGGTGATATGGGAGGAGGAGAGGTACTACTGTGAGTTGGTGATATGGGAGGAGGAGATGGAAGGGAGGGAAGTTGGTAGTAATGACGAAGCCGGGGGATATGAAATATTGCGTGTTGTAAGTGTCCGGGTAGTCAGGGCATCTGGGATCGCTAGTTATGGCACGGTGAAAATCCCTGGGGCATAATCGGTTGTTTTCTGTTAGGCAGGGGAATTCCGAATTTCTTAAAATCCCTCGCCGTCTAAGTTGTTCGTCTTCCCTGTACTCGTGATATTCCAGGTCCCTCAAATTATCGTAGTCGGATGTCCAAGAAGGAGATCTTGCAACCATGTCTGTTTAGTAAGCCGCATCCCCCACATCCTTACACGAGGTTAAGGCTGTCTTACGCGGGCGAGTGCGTACGTGGCGACTCAACTTTCCTCGAGATCGCGACGTACATATGCGTGCACGTAGGGAACAACCGACTGGCTCCGTGTGTCGGTTGCATACAACCTACCAATCACTACATGCTATGCATGTGACGCAAAAAGGGGGAAAAAGGGGATAATCGGTGGTTAGACTCCAGACCTTTAAGATAAGCATTCCCAATGATCACATGGCTCATGCAGGCGAATACTGGTCGGAGACAACACACAACGTAAAACAGATTGAAAAGATTGCTCACAAAAGGGATCCTACATTCATTCCATGCATACATACCGAGCAAAACAACAAGAAAAATCCGAGACAATATACAAAAAGTTCAAAAGAGAAGGGTCACGATAAAGAGATCGGCCATATCAGAACTCAAAATTATACAGATGAATAGATGGAAAGAACAACAAAAAGAAGCCCTATCCCACACCCACACTGCGACTCTCTCTCTTTCTCTCTCTCCCATTGAGGGCAGTCCGTCGCCTTGCATCAATACTCATGGTATCGGCAGTCCGTCACCGCGTACCCACACAGAGTTGTCACCCCGCTTGGTTCAAGTATGCAAGCCAGGTTCGCCTGTGCGCCACAGTCCGTTGCGGCCACGCACGTCAACCCCGCATACCCAACACCAGCTCGTTGGATTGCCCAACTCTCACACTCACTCACCTTCCAAACTTGCTCATTAGCCGAGCCTCACTGATCGCGCTAACCTCAAAATTCGTAGAGAGCAAACTAATCGCGCTTACGAAATTTATAGCATGCATGCCTGCGCGAAAGGTACGGGATTAAGCTTAGATGGACAAGAAGGGAAGAGCGGAAGTGCCTGCATCTACATGGCCAGGCCGCGGCGTAGGGGTCGTAGCCACTCTCCACGCATCGATCCGGTCATGCAGGCTCTTCGGCCAATTAGAACGGAGTATGCAAGACGAGAAAGAAGGAGAAGGAAGGCGGGCAACATAGGAGAACCAAGAAAGAAGAAGGATTACAGTTACGATCGCGCCCGCCGAAAACGACAGTTGCACAAGATTAAAGGCGCGATCCAGTCAGAACCCAGTTCTCCGCGCCACAAGATGCGTGCGAACGCTGCGCGACAAAATTCAAAGTACCTAAATTCCTAGTCTAAGTCCTAATTGCAAAAGGAAATTCAGAAAAGAAGGACAATTCCGAGAGCCCGCGGGGGCTCGTCATCAGTTAAAAATTCAAAATCGAAAATTCCCGCGCGCTAATCGCGCCAAAATTCCTTATGCTCACAGCAAAACAAGAAAGAAGCTATGGTACAATTATTCCTTGCACCCGTCATGGCGCAGCCATCCAATCGTCGTCACGGGGGTTTCCCTGCGCTGGCCCAACGAATTCCAACAACAATGAAAAAGAAAAGTGAGGGTATCCATGCAATTTGCCCAACCGAACCCCGCTTACGCCCGTCACCCATCAAGGCCCTCCCGTTTTCCCACATCAGCCCTGCGCAGGAAGTCGGGCGGTTGCAGAAGATAGTTCGTCACATAGCGTGCGCGGGGGGTGGAGAGAGAGAGAGAGAGAGAGAGAGAGAGAGCGAGAGAGAGAGAGAGAGAGAGAGAGAGAGAGAGAGAGAGAGAGAGAGAGAGAGATGGTGGTCCTATTTGCACCCCAACGGCAAGAGGCGCGAAACAGAAACATGGTGGAGGCTGCTAGGGGCATTTAGAAAATCAATTAGGCTGATGGAAAGTTGACAGCTGTTGGGGTATTCTAAAAACTTTGACGGTTTCTTTTTTTTTTTTTAGCTGAACTTTGACGGTTTCCGGTAGGGGTATATAGCAAAGATGGGGCCCCCAACCGACGCCACGGGTATTTCACAAGAGGTTTTTTCTGTTAGGGGCATTCCGCTGTATTTTGGCAGATATCTCAATGTATGGGTATTTTGCAAATTATGCCGAGAGCCCCCACGGAATATATCATGTGCACTCTCCGTTCCGTGACTGCCACGTCAGCAGGATGATAGGACAGCACACGTCGCTGAATCAATGATTGCAAACGACTTCCCTTAGATGATTTTTCTCTTCCTCCTCTTCCCTCTTTTGTTCTCTCTCTCTGTAGCTCCATCCTCACCGTCCTCCTCTCCTCTCTTCCTCCTCCGTTGCCCGTCCATCTCCGCTGCCTTCTTCCTTGCTGTCATCTCTTTCGCCCAGCTCTTTGGCTATGGAGGACTACGAGATCGAGGAGAGAGAGCAGGCTGCCGCCGACGCGCTGTCGCACTACTCCGTCCTGACGATGGTTAGCGTCGCGCAAGGTGTGTCGCCGGTGAGGATGCGGCTTCGGCTAATGAAAGAAGCTTCTGGATTTCGTCCTTTGAAAGAAGCTTCGGGATTTCGTCCCGAACGCAAGACCGATGGCGTCGGGATCGGGACGAAAGACGAGGAGGCATCGGATAAAGTTTGCCTTAACCTGGTTTCAATCGAAGGCGGTGCGGGTCCTCGGGTCGCGGGTTTTCTCCCTCGCGGGGGCTCGTCAAAGAATTCCCACCAGAGGTCGTGATGATGAATAATGAGGCTGGATTATGAGGGTGATGATGATGAGGAGGAGGAGGAGGAAGGAGGGAGGACGGATGAGGGAGGAGGGTTGCGTGGGCCGCTGTTGACGTCAGCACTCGGGCGATTGCCTATTATTGCGATGGAGTCTTTGACAGATCCGAGCAGCGGACGGCGCGATTATGGTGATGATATGATGATGTTGAAGAAGATGATGATTATGGGGTGATGATGACGGGGGGTGATCCTTGTGTCTGTTCTTCTCATTTGTTGGTCCGTTCACTGATTGATCGATACGATGGTGTAGTGAATGGTATTGATTAGTGTTGTGTTTCGGTGAGAGCTGGAAACGCGAGCGTGGGAGTGAGGAGGAAGGCGCGGCGGAGGGGGGAGGAGGAGTGGGGAGGAGTAGAGGCGGGGCGCGAAAGGCGTGAGACAGAGTGGACTTGAACAGGCGAAGATGCTGGACCATTTTTTAGCATCTTAACTAAGGCGCGGGCTGGCCCTATGGACGTCGTTCCCAATCTCCTCATCTTCACTAGGAAGCCCCATCGACGCTTTGATCCGCTCCTGCCTGTTGGAGAGGCGCGATCGGACGAAATTTCGTTTCATTATCGCCCCGAGAACCGTCTTATACATTGGAATGGAGTCAATGGACCCCTTTCATAATGAGCTGGGCTTGGTCTTCGCGGCAGTTTATCAGCGTTTCTTGCAGTTACTTTACGCATCAGATGAATTACTTGCAAGAGTCCTCAGTCCGGTATGAATTCGTGGGAACCCATCTAGAGAAGAAGTACCAGTATGGGTATCAGAACTTCGACGCTGTGTAGGAAGAGTTGGTGCAGGAAGCGGAGGCGAAGGCGGAAGAGATGAAGAAGATGAAGCAAGCGCAAGAGGAGGGGGGGGGATGGGGGTGAGAGAAAGAAACAGGAAGGGGGAAGGGGAATTGGAGGGGCAGAGGGGGACAAGCAGGCGGAAAGAGCGGGAAAGGAGGGAAAGGCGGGGGTGGAGAGAAGCGGGGAAGCGGGAAAGCGGGGAAGATCAGGAGGATGACGATGGGGAGGGGAAAGCGGAGGGGGGACTTGCGAGAAAGGGAGCGCAGCGGCGGGTGGGAAAGAGGGACATTGGCGCACGCGAGCGGAGGCGGTGCAGGCGCCGCCATCGGGCCCGCGCATTCTTCTGCTAATGGTAAGTCATTGTCGGCTTTCAACCTCCCAAGCTGCGTCAGCGGAAAAGTAAATCGATGGCCGCTGGGGGGGGGTGGGTCTTCAGCGTCTTTGGTGGGGATACTTGCAGTAGTGAGAACGTAAGCTTGAGAGGAGAGTGAAGTCCGCGTGAAAGCGTTGGACGTGAAGAAGGTGGTGTCAAGCGGGATGGATGTGGAGGAGGAGGAAATAGGTGCGGACAGCGAAGAGGAAGAGGACGAGGAGGAGGTGGAGTGGGGTTGTGAGGAACAAGAAAGCGGGGAAAGGGGTCGCTGCATCTACGCGTGACCAGGCGGGTAATGGCACGGCTTATCGTAACGGCACGAGGAATGACCACGTGGTGGCCACGTGGCCTCCCATGTGGAGGGATCAGGAGTTTGCGATGCATGGACAAGGGGGTTGGCGACGTAAAATTGGCGGGAAAAGATTTCCATGGTCTTGGACAGGACAGCCGCGCGTCAGACTGGTTATCTTTAGCCACGTGGTCAGTGAGGGATCAGGAATTTGACGGGAAGGTTCTTTTTAAAACCGACTCGTGCATAGCGCAAACTGCACGCGCTGCCGTGTAAGGGCCTACAGTAGTTGCAGCACCCTCTATCCACCCAGATTTTGAATGGATCTGGTCAATGTCGATGTCCAGAGGCATTCAAAATGTTGGAGGATGGCGAGTGGTGCATCCTACCGTAGGACCTAACGCCTACTCCGGGCCGTAGCTTGCTTAAAGAACAGTGAAGCGATGGGAAAGGTTGTGGCACCTTTCTCGGCCTTTTGGCTAAGATCAAGTGTAGTTTCTGTTCTGATCAGTTTAATATCTGATCCGTGGTCCATCGGGCCACATGGTTAGATAGGTGAGAAAAACAAACCAAAAGTGAATGATGATAGGGAGCGGGAGCGGGCAGACAGAGTGACAGAGTTTTACAAGTGTGTATGACCGTGGTGGCGCCTAATTGCGGGCAGTCTCACATACTCCAAATTAGGCATCAGTGTGGATAATATATGCTGTATCTGGTCGCGTAGTGCGTAGTCATACAGTCTTGTCTGCCTCTGAAAGAACGATGCAACAACGGTGAGCAATGGTGATTGCGTTTTTGGCCATAGCTTTTCTGTGTGAGTGGCGAAGAAAACCGGTTTCAATGGATATTCGTCACTGAGCAATTGATTTTGATTGACTGGTGAGTAAACAAGTCGATGTTGATTGATATTGATTGGATATTGATTGATATTGATTGATATTGATTGATATTGATTGATATTGATTCATGACTAATCAGCGGTGTTGATGATTGAAAAGGCAGATGGTGATGAGCAAAGGAGCACTGGAAAGCGGATATATATGTACAGCCTCCTGATGAGTAGGTAGGTGAAACTCCGACGAAACAGCTTGTCACAGCCCCTCGTTCGTTGTCTGTCCTCTTCTCCATCCCTCTCTGCCTACGGTTTACAGGAGGGCAGTTCTGTCTGTTTGGCAGAAGTGCTGTCCGGTAAACCGTAGGCAGAGAGGGAGATTGGGCCTCGCCACACCACTGTCGAAAAGAAAAAAGCACTACCGGTAGTGCATCTTCCCCGAAAAGCGGCCAGATGCATCTGTTGCTATTCATAGGAACGGATGCATCTTGCCACTTTCTGTGGGAACATGCGTTTGAACGTTTTTCGTTTCGACAGTGGTGTGGCGAGGCCCATTGTCGAACAGATGTGCCACGACCGTAGGCAGAGAGGGAGAAGAGGACAACAAACGAGGGGCTGTGACCAAGTGTTTTGTCAGAGTTTCACCATCGCCGGCTCCTTAGGAGGCTGAACCCGCTACAGTCTGCAGAGGCCACTAATTGATTACACTGTAAGCGATAATCCACCTTAACCCCGGTTGGTGCCCAACAACTGATACCTTGAGGTGGGCACCAACCACTGCCCTCGAGGTTACCTGTGACGAAAATCAAAGCAGACGATCACTCACCCACACAAGATGGAAAACTGTACAGACTGCAGGTTCACACCCCATCACAAGCCAGCAGAACACCCACGAAACAAAGAAAGACCTGTCACAGCCAGAAAATACACTTCGGACACCTGCTGGCACTAGAGGCACAGCATGGCCGCGTAGTGACAACCCCGACCGCTGACGCGCGACCTGACTGTAGAAAACCATAGCCCGACCGCTGACGCGCGACCTGACTGTACTGTAGAAAACCATAGCAGGGTGCTATCGAAGTCTTGGTATATATTGTCAAACAGAATTGCTCGAAGTCGTGGTATATATCGTCAAACAGAACTGCTCGAAGTCGTGGTATATATCATCGAACAGAACTGCCTGGTAAACCACGGGCAGAGAGGGAGAGAAGAGGACAACAATATATCGTCAAACAGAACGGCCCAGTAAACCGCAGGCAGAGAGGGAGAGAAGAGGACAACAAATGAAATGGGCCTTCGCTATGCGGCCATGCTGTGTCTCTAGTGCCAGTGGCATGCCTGGAGTGTACATTCAGCACTGTTTCCTCTGCAGGTTGCACGTGTGCAGAGCTCTGCAGATGCATGCGACTGTTTTCTTCAGCTCAGAATGTTCGGCCTGTGTGCACATCCATCCACAATCTGCAAAAGGAACGGTTTTGATCTGTGCGGCCTGGCTGTTTTCTTTCTTCTGTCCCCCTGCCACTGTGTCAAACACGACAACAATCAACAACCAAATCAGATTTGCGTTCCAAATGCCTCCCTCTTCCTCCTTCCCGTTTTCTGTCACCATTTATGTGTTCCGTCTTTTATATGCCTTGTCTTTACTAGCTGTACTCTTTTGCATCCCGAATGTCACTCATATGCTTTTCTTTCTGTCCTTCTGCATACGGTCACTCTTGGGTATCACCACAAACTGCTCTATCGAAAAAAAACACAAGAAAAACTGCTCTGCAAGGACCTGCCAAACACGGATTGAGACACAGCTTGATTTCTGAGTTTTGCCTTGCTGAGTTTCCCACTTGTTATTGAGTTTTCTAAGTCTGTGTGTGTGCGTGCTTGCTGGTCTGCATGCCTGTCTGAGTGCTTGTCGGCTTGAGTGTGTGCTTGACCTGCAAGAGCACTTGTTCATTCGGAAGACCCAAAGGGCCGGTACTTACCTGTGGCTGCGACATTGAGGGTTGCAGGGGGGAAAACACTAAAGTGGCGGGGAAAGAGGCTCGCGACACTTAAGAGCAGTGGAAAAACACTCGAGTAGCAGGTAGGCTGGTACCACACCACGCCCAGCTCCCCACTGCGGCTATGTGTAGGAGCACAGGCTGGAGGAGGAGGAATGAAGAGGACTAGGAGGGAAGAGCGCCAGAGGTACTTACCTGGCTATGGAGGATGCCATCTTCATCACCTTGGTGGGCGCTGCATCTGGAAGACCCCAGTTGGGGTAGAGCTACACCTGTCTCTTATACACATCTAGATGTGTATAAGAGACAGGGCTGGAGGAGGAGGAATGAAGAGGACTAGGAGGGAAGAGCGCCAGAGGTACTTACCTGGCTATGGAGGATGCCATCTTCATCACCTTGGTGGGCGCTGCATCTGGAAGACCCCAGTTGGGGTAGAGCTACACCAAGAAGCTTCGAGGCAGAGTCAGGCATGGCGGCCTGAGCTAGAGCAGCCACAGCTGCTTTGAGTTGTCTTTTGCACATCAGGGCAAGGCCGTAGCAGTCCGCCATAGCCTCGTCCTTCAGGAAGAGGACGGAGAAGGGTGGCCATGGCTATGGTGGACCTCATGTTGTACCTGCAGTAGAAGAGGGATTCAGACATTGATTCTGGTTCAGCCATTCAACATTATTATTATTATTATTTATTGTTTGAATAAGAGGGGAGGAGAAAGGGAGGAGGAGAGTGGTCGACGAAGAAGAAGGGAATTATCATTGGTCTTTGCTGGTGTACATCTTCTTTCTTTCGTCTTCTCCTTCTTCTTTCCCTCCCTCTCCTTTCAAGTTCATTCGTTTCTTTTTGCAATTGGACGGCATTGTACTTTATCATGAGTGTGTACTTCGAAATTGGCCAGGGCCATAACATTGGTATCAGAGCGGATTCTACTTGCTGGCGAGAGTTGACTTCACTGCTCCAACCCTAACCTAAGTGGAGGGCTACCGCTTAGGGTTAGGGCTGGAAGCTGAGGGAAGTGGGGCAGTGTGGTAAAGGGAAGCTGCCCCCACCCGGTTAGGTTGTGTTGGGTCAACGCTGGACCTGACCAGGTTGTGTGAGAGTAAGTTTGGAGTGGCAAGACACTTCGAGAAGACTTCGTGCTACACTTTGAGAGAGGCTACAGCGAGAGGCACTCACATCTGGAATCTGACCTAAGGAGACACTTGGCGACATAAGGGCCTCCCACAAGTAGGCGAGCTTGAGGGAGGTAGCCACTCTGCATCTATGGACTACAAGTTGTTGCTTTGATCTTCAGCATCGGCGGGGGATCTGACGTTTCAAATTGGTATTGGAGTCGGACCCTCCTAGTAGATAGGACAATAGTGGGGTAGCGTTAAAGGGGTCAGGAGGACCATATGAGAGGGGGGGGGAGTTCTATTCATCTCGAAGCGCAGGCCATTCAGGTAAGGGCCGTGCACCTACGGGATGCCCATGTATGTGTGTGCATGGTATTGATTGTCCTGTTGGGGTTTACTCTAGGTCACTTTTCTTACTCCTTGTGTGGTTTTGATTGTGTGTAAGAGCATGCAAACTGTTTTCTCACCTTTTATGGATGAAGAGACGAGTTATCTTGCTTTGGACGCTATATCTTTCTATCGTGCATCGTCTTTTTGTCTTTGAACGGACGTAGACTGTAGGTTCTCTCTGAAGTTGAAATTCATTTTCCAATTCGATAGAGGCAAAAAGTAGGTTTATGTGAGACTCTTCTTGGTTGGGACTTGGTCATGGCCTACTTGGGGCCTTTTTGGTACCATGGAACCAAGCCCAAGCAAGAAGGGCCCCTTATGCCCAAATTTGACATGAGATCATTCTTTTTTTGTTAGGGAGGCAAAGTTTGATTCTTTGGTTAGAGCACTTGCTGCCAAGGGGATCTCGGCTGAGATGTTTTGTATACTTTTACCCCACAGTCCGTGGCTTGCCTCGCACCTTATACACAACTCAATTCTCCGTTGTTGCATGTCGTTACTCGTCTGAATTTGTTGTACGTCCACGGAACTGATCAGATTGGAGTCAAGGGGGTCTCGTATTCGTATTTCGTAATGTCGCTCCGACTAGGAGTTTGACCTTATCGTCTTTGAGCTTTCCAATTTTTATTTTTATTTTAGTTCATCTTTCGATGTCCGTAGAGACTAGTGGATGAAAAAAAGAGAGAGGGAGGAGAGAGGGAGAACACTCATCTTGAAGGACTTGTTGAGTTTTTTTTTCGTAAACCTGATAGTTATAACATGGCAGCAGTAAATGCCTTTGTGGCCTTAAAGGCTCAACTGGATGCGGCAAACGATGAGGACAAACCATTGTTCCAAGTCCTTAACAATAAGGCACTGGCGAGGGAAGAGAAGGCAGAGGAGGATAAACCGAAAACCGCTATTACGGACCATGAGGCTGTTTTTAAAGCAGTCCTGTCCTTGGCTGACACTGAGGTCATGAAAGATGTGAAGTATTTGCATGCTCTCATAAACTATCACCTGCTCAGTGAAATGTTTGGTCATATATCCAAACTGTTTGACCATGTAAGTAAATTGCAAACTTCGATTGCGGATATGGCCAAGGAGTACAGTGATCACATGCGACAGATGACAAATCTGCATCAGGCCCAGATTCCTAATTCTCTTCCTCGACCTCCCGCTTTCAATGTCGTTCACTAAACTGTCCTCGCTGCTCTCGACGCCAAAAAAAACAAGTTGGCACGCCAACCAAGTACGTCCTCGATACTAGATAAAGGCATTGATGCATTAATTGTTTTTGCGTGACATACGCCTTGACCATTAGGGTGAGGATGTACGGGCAAGTAAATTTGATTAGTATCCATGTGTGTGATTGCGGCCCACGTAAGGATGATTAGGGTTAGTAATAATACCTCGGCGATCAGGGAGACCGAGAGATTAATTGACTTAAACAAAGTAGGCACGCCGACCACGTTGGGCTGAAGACGGCCAAGCCAAAAAACATAACAGTTCGTGTTCCTCGACCATAGTGAGTTTAAGTCGGGCCGAATGAAGCCAATGGTGCGCGAGTATCAACCTAACAATTAGTACAACAGCGTGC